AACCGTTGTTGTCCATATAAAAAATAATATTGTGTATATAGATAGGTAAATATATACTAAAGTTTTGAACGTTGTTGTCTATTGTGCATTTGTGCTCGATTGAGGGACCATCTCTCATCGATCACCACACTGCTAAAAACGGGAATGTCTAACTGTTAGAAACGTTTCAGACAAGCCAAATTCGGACAGATTTCCTGACCACCACATTTTTAGTAGTGTCAATCAACAATAACAATTAAAAAAAAGATGAAAACAAATTCTAGTAATAGTAGATTTGGATATAACTTAAGATTACAACATTTATAAAAAAAATTCAATCAGCACCACATGCATCTATGTCAAAAGACAAAGTATCTGTTGCAGTATCAAAAGTTAATCCTACACCTTGGAGTTGATAACTTCCTATAATTGTGACGGGGTTCTTCCATGACATAAAAGCAAGACAGAATAGCCCCTGCTGATGCACCACGACTAGGCGTTCTGCTAGAAACAACAAATTTTCTGGTTTTTGTTGACCAAAGTACGTCTTCACAGTGGGGAAATCTGGTGCCACACCTGGATCCGCCTTATATCAAGTATCGAATTGTGAAGGTGGAGATTTATACAAAGGAAAACCTGCTTCCTTTCTGAATGTATCACGGAATACTTTATAAATACCTTTAGGGAAAAAGGAAAAAGTTGCTCCTGTATCCACGAAATAACGACTGTTCATATCATTTCCAATATTCCGCGGCAATGGGACTTCCTTATCGTTAATAAAAACTTTAAAAAGGTTGACGAAATAAAAAAGAGGTAATGCGGAATTTGGTAATAGTTTTGCTGATGTTTTTTTCTTAAATGGTGATGTGTGGAAGCTAATTGTTGATTTTCCTGTGGTGCAAAAGTCCGGTAGACATATGGCCATTATATCCGCCCCAAATTGCGATGGTAAAGAATATCCACCAGCCCTTCTACGTCCGAGGCCAGCAATTCCTGAAAAATCACCATCAAAAGGCTTTCCACTCGTTTGATCTCTGCCACATCCAAATGCAATCGAGTTGTCGGTATGTTCTAGACTTAGTTAAATCATATAGATGTTCATTTTTTTGTTCATAACACTTATTTTTGCTACATGGTCCACATTGCCACCAAACTAAATCACTCCCAGTGTCTACTAACAAGTACCTTTTAAATTTGTGATCATCAGTGCCAAGATTAAAAGTTGCAATATACTCAGCATTTAAGAATTGTACACTTGTTGTTTTCGGAACATTTCCGTTGTCCCTTTTACTCTCATGTGGCCTTGTCACATTACCACTCTCGAGAATCCAAGCCAAATGCTTTGCTCTAGCTTGAGAACGAGCAATCTTATTCTCAAGTAACGAGTCATAGTCCTTGAACTTTGACTTTTCAAATAAATCACGACTGTAAAGGGCAAAAGTATAGGATGGCATTGGAGGATCAACAAGTTTAGTTATATCAAAAGACATAAATCTTTTTTTAGCTTCCATGATGTAACTTGAGTTAAGGCGTGAAAAAGATTTTTCATTGCCCAAAACTACAATCAAAATTGAGAAAATTATTGAAATCAAAAGGTGAAACTTCTCCATTATTTTTCTAATTGCTTGATTTGGTTTGAGATATGTCTACTACTCCTTGCACTCATATATATATACTAGTGTATGTCAAGATAGGAGTTAATATGTAAATTCAATTCTCTTGGACTAACAGCAAAAACGATCCAAAAGGAGTTAATATGTAAATTCAATTTTCCCCATAGTAGATTTTCTTATCATAACTGCAAAATTTGACTCCTACATATTATTTTGTCTAATAAACAAAAATATTTCTTAAATTGAGAGAATGAATTTGTTGGCAAAGGGCTTGATATGCTGGGCTGGCCCAAAAAGAAATATGGAAGAAAGACTAGTTGGACGGTAAGATGACTAAAGAATTTGTTCCAAGGCACCTATCGATGCGACTAACAAAACATAATAACATTTAGTACCAATTTTTATACTCAATCACATGCATCTATGTCAAATGACAAAGTACTTGCTGAACTATCAAAAGTTAATCCTACTCCTTGGAGTTGAGTCATGCCTAATATTGAAAAATCGTAATCCCATCCAACAAAAGCCAAGCAGTAGACCCCCCGATGGTTCACAATAACTCGTTCTTGTGTCAGAAGCAACATTGTACTCGAGTTTACGCTGCCAAAGTACAACTTCACTACAGGAAAGTATAAGTTACCACCACTCGGATATTCCCTATAGCAAGTGTCGAAAGTATTGCTTGGATCTTCAGCCATAGGAATATCTCGTACTTCTTCTCTGAATATGTAACGGAATACGATATAAAAATCATGAGGTAAAAGGGTAAAAGTTGTCCCTGTATCTACCAACATTCCACCACCCATATCTGATTTAAATTTCCACCATGAAGGACTCACTGGAACTTCTCGATCGTTAATAAAAACTTTATAAATGTTGATATAATATAATGAAGGGAACCTATAGTTAAATAACAATTTTGCTGATGTTGCTCTTGGCCACTTGCTTGTATGGAAACTAAGAACTGATCCTTTTCCTGAATTAAAAGTTGGTAGACACATAGACATTATGTGACCCCTAAATTGCGATGGTAAAGAATATTGACCATCGCCACGACCAAGGCCAAGAATCCCAGCAGAGAAAGCACTGAAATTTTTTTCACCAGTTTGATCTTTGCTACATCCAAATGTGATCCTAATCGTTCGATGGTCATCTAAATTAAAAGTAATCACATCATCCGCTATGAAACCTTTTGTTTGCACATGATCCCCGTAGACCAAATCATATCTACACTCAAAATTTTCTTGATTACAATGAAAGGCTGGATCCACAGTCCTGCACCTTAAAGCATATTTATTACAACCGATTATTCGAAATGTTTTGGATGCAATAGAATCATATAGAGGTTGATCTTGTTTGTAACATGCCTCACATGGTCCGCATTGCCACCAAACTAAATCACTTCCAGTGTCTATTAACAAGTAATTTTTGATCATTTGAGTGCCAATCAAAAAAGTCGCGACATACTCACCATTCCTGTAGATAGTATCCGTTGATTTTGGGACCAGCTCGAGCATCTCACCTCCTTGTGCACCATTTTGAGATTTAATAACCGAAGCTAAATAATTTGCTCTAGCATGAGATCGAGCAAGTCTATTTTCATGCAACGAGTCGTAGTCCTTGAATTTTGATTTTTCAAATACATCGCGATGGTAGACAGTAAAAGTATAGGATGGCATCAGAGGATCGGGAAGCTTAGTCGGATCGAGAGACATAAATCTTTTTCTAGCTTGCATTATGTAAGTTGAGTTGAGGGGTGATAGGGAATTTGTATTTCCCAACACAATTAATAGAATTGAGAAAATAATAGAAGTGAAAAGATGAAAATGGAGGATCTTTTCCATTGCTTCAATTTGTTTATGCAAATAGGAAGAAACATAGTTAAATATAGAGGTTTGATTCTCTTTATATTTTTGTCCAATTAAGGAAAATATTTTATTTTCCAAGAAAGACATTCCTAAAAAGAGAATTAATTAATCTTAGGGAATCTATGCTATTTAGGAACTTTATTAATTAAAATTCCTATTTACATCTCATCAATTATATACTCCCTCTGTCTAATAATATTTGTCCACTTCAAGGGAAAAGAATCAGATCATTGTCCCCACGTAAGGATAGTTTGATTGGTGAACACGTTACATAAAGATTGTAATGTCGATATTAAACGAGGACATGCTAATTTAATGATATACTTTTGGCCGTTTGATTGGTGAACAAGCTATATTGGTATTATTATGTCAGAATTATGTAATTCAAGGATAAAATGATAATTGATAGATGCTTGATTCATTGGACTAAAAAATGAGATATAGACGATATAATAACAAAGGCGACCCTGAAGTACCGTTGCATGTGGCTAGATTCAGGGGCAGAGGTACCGTTGTAGGTGCAAATTCGGTTCAATCTAATTGATTTGCTTCTAAATCCTGTTTGTGTTTTTAAAAAGAAATCATTTTATATGTATAATTCGATCACAGAGAAATAACAAATCTTTTTGATTTCACATCTAGTGATCGATACTGGCACTGGAGCCTGATTAAATTTGATTGCGTGAGAAGTCACACATTTGGGGTAAAACACTCCCATACCACTTTGGCTCGGAGGTGTAGAGTAGAATGCCACGATAATGGGGATGCAATTGCAAAGCTTGTGGCGGTTTAATATAAAATGTAACCAGAAGTATATGATTTCTTCAAATTAGCAACCAAACAAATGAAAAGAAGCTATAGCAAATCCTTCTTTGTAGGATTCTCTCTCCAACTTCTCCGTAGATTTGTCAGGATCATTGTCGAAATTTGCAAAGCAGAACAATCCGCGAACTTGTTTAACCATTCAGGGAGCCAAGACACTACAAGGGCTCCAATCACCGGAAATATTTTGACTTATGAAACATTGAAATCAAACACAAATCAAAACCTACTTCCTCCTTATAAGTGTCCTCAAATTAGACAACAGTAATCTAGAAGGTCTGATAACACCTGCAATAGGTTCGTTACATCGACTCAAGACATTCAATGTTGACAGGGAAATTCATGTGCATCAGAACGCGTATGGAACTACCATACTCTGTTAATTGGTGGTTTTATGATCGATTTCAACTAACATAAAGTACAATACTCCTTCCATTCCAGTTTATGTGACATAATTTCCTTTTTTTAATCCATTACAAAAAATGTGGCAGGAAATACAAATCAATTAAAGTCATAATACATAGATATATAGACACCTTAACTTAGTCATAGCAGAAAACTAAACACTCCAACTTTGCGATTATGACACCTCAAGTCGTCTCCACTTTGTCAATTGAATACTCCAACTTATGAAATAATCATCTATGTTACCGTTTGGTAGGAAATAGAAAAACGAAGATTCTCAAGAGATAAACAGAGTTTAGCTTTATATTTATACTCAATCACATGCATCAATGTCAAATGACAAAGTACTTGATATAGTATCAAAAGTTAATCCTACACCTTGGAGTTGAGTCATGCCTAATACTGATCTCTCACTATTCCATCCAACGAAAGCCAAGCAGTAAAGCCCGCGATAGTGCACAACAACTCGTTCTTGTGCCAGAAGCAACACTGTACTCGAGTTTACGCTCCCAAAGTACAACTTCACAACAGGAAAGTATAAATCACGACCATTTTGATCTTCCTTATAGCAAGTGTCGAAAGGTTGGACTGGAATTTCAGCCATGGGAATATCTTGCACTTCTGCTCGGAATATGTAACGGAATACAGTATAGAAATCATGAGGAAAAGTTGTATAACTTGTTCCTGTATCCACGAACATTCCACTGTTCATCATAGGTCCTTTGAAATTCCACCACGAGGGGCTCACCGGAACCTCCCTATCGTTAATAAGAACTTTATAAATGTTGACAAAGTAAAATGAAGGGTACCTATAATTAAATAACAATTTTGCTGATTTTGCTCTTGGCCACTTGCTAGTTTGGAAACTCAGAACCGATCCTTTTCCTGAATCAAAAGATGGTAGACACATAGACATTACGTTTCCCCCAAATTGCGATGGTAATGAATATCCATCTGTGAGATCGCGTCCAAGACCAACGATCCCAGACGCGAAAGAACTGAAATTTAGTTCACCAGTTTGATCTTTGCTACATCCAAATGTGATCCTAACTTGCCAATGTTCTACAAGAAAAGTAATCACGTCGTCTGCTATAAAACCTTTTGTTTGTGAATTATCACCGTAATGCATATCATATCGACACTCGAAATTTTCTAGATTGCAATAATAGGCTGGACTCACAGTCCTGCAACTTTTACCATGTTGATTGCAACCGATTATTTGAAATTTTTTGGATGCAGTAGAATCATATAGAGGTTGATCTTGTTTGTAACATGCCTCACATGGTCCACATTGCCACCAAATTAAATCACTTCCAGTGTCTAATAACAAGTAATTTTTTATCATTTGAGTGCCAATCAAAAAAGACGCGACATACTCACCACTCCCATAGAAAATATCCGTTGATTTTTGGACCAGCTCGGGCATCTCACCTCCTTGTGCACCATTTTGGGATTCAAGAACCGAAGCTAAATAACTTGCTCTAGCATGACATCGAGCAAATCTATTTTCAAGCAACAAGTCGTAGTTCTTGAATTTTGATTTTTCAAATACATCGCGATGGTAAATAGTAAAAGTATAGGATGGCATCGGAGGATCGGGAAGCTTAGTTGGATCAAGAGACATAAATCTTTTTCTAGTTTGCATAATGTAAGTTGAGTTGAGGGGTGATAGAGAATTTGCATTTCCCAACACCAGAAGTAGAATTAAGAAAATAATTGATTTCAAAAGGTGAAAATGGAGAAACTTTTCCATTGTTATTTTGCTAATTGCTTCAATTTGGTTATGTAAATAAGAAGAAACACAAAGTTAAATATGGAGATCTGATTCTCTTTATATTTTGGTCAAACTTAAGGAAAATATTTAATTTAATAAAAGACATTCCTAATAAAGAACATCTAATGAATTTTATCCTATTTTGGAACTTTATTTATTTAAGATTGGGATTAGGCACAAGTATCCCCTAGACTATGACCGAAATCTTAGAGACACACCTTAACTCTTTTATTCCAACTTTGTTAGATTGGAAATGGAAGATGAAATTGATTCATCGAAAGGTATATGTATGGAAGGTTAGGTAACTGTAACATCCGACAAATTGAGGTGGCTTTGAAGAAGCTTAAAAGAAAAAAAATCTGGAAATTTGGCCAAGTGTGGAAATCAGTGAGTTTTTGGCCAACTTTGAGCAGTCATAACTCCTAGCTCAGGATGATCCAGGAGTAGTTCCAATTATTTTTGGAAAGCCCTTGGAACGATCTTTCCAACGCCACTGAGTTTACTCGATTTCGATTTCGTATGAGGGAGTTATGCCCTTTAGAAGTTGGGCAGTTGGAAGGGAAATCTGTCCGGAAATTTAAGGGCATTTTGGTCTTTTCACAATTTTTTTTTCTTTTGAGACTACATTGTTGTATTAGGCTGATCTTTGGATCTTTTTGTCCCATGTTTTTGAAAGAGAAAGAGTTAGGGTTCTTGAGAGTGAAGAAGAGAAGAAGGAGAAGAAGAAGAAGAGAAGAAAGAGGAGATCAACAAGATTAGTCAAAATCATTGTGGATGTTCGTCGGGGGCGATCCCTATTGAGGTATGTGAGTTTTTGTGTGGGTTGATCCTTTCCCTCACACACACCAAGCTTATTCTATGTTTTGAGAAAAGATTGGAATTAGTTGTTGAAGTTGTTAGTTGTTGTTGATGTTGTTGTTGATGTTGTTGTTGAAGTTATTGTCCGTTGTGAGACATGATTGGGTTGTGTATTGAGTTGAAACCTATTGTATGTTGAGGGAATTATGATTCTAAGAGTTTTGACCGTTTTGAAGTTGATTCACCTTCGATTCTCAGCAAATTTTGGCTATCGTTCCCCATGTACGGGTGTGACCTACGGACCGTAGATCGATTGACGGTCCATACTGGTCAACCGTCAACCGGGACAGAAGTTGGGTTTTTGGGGCATCGATCTACGGGCACGACCTACGGTCCGTAACCTGACCTACGGACCGTAAGTCCGGACCGTAGGTCAACACTTGGTCTTTTTTTTTTTAAAAAAAAAATGAATGAATTCTGGGGAAGTTTCAGTCGCGATCTACGGACCTGCAGGACGGACCGTAAGTCCATCTACGGTCCGTCGATGGCGTCCGTAAATGCCATCTGTGTCACCATAAATCTGAAGTCTCAGCCAAGTTTCCCCATTTCTTTTCTCACCTTCTCATGCATGTTCCAAAGTATTAAACCTATGTTTTACAGTTGTTTTCGACACTCCAAAATACGTCTAAGCGTTCAAGAATCCCTCCATAACATGTGATCAAACACCTTGAATTCATAATTCCGACTCAAGGAGAGATAGTTTCAAGTCGAGTAAGAGTCTCAGTTTCAAGTTAAGTCATGAGTTTAAAGTTGAGTTCGTTTCTCAAAGTTATTAGGAAACTATGTATTCCCAAAGAAGTTTTAAAGAAATGTCTTTACATTTGAATAAGGTTGGAAACTGAGATTTCCAAAGGGGCATTCGGGCTAGTTTTTGAGTAATTATCTCATATTAGCAGAAATAAATATGTTTTAAAAACATAAGAGCCAGTACATTTTTGGGAGTAGTATCGAGCACCGAATTGGGGGAGCGTTCAAAGAACCCACAGCCCCCATAGAACCATGTTAGCCACCATGGGTAGAAAAAGATCATACCTTTTAGATGAATCCTTTTCATATTAGATTAGTGGATCCATTAGGCAGTTCAGGTCTTATACCTTTGGCCGGGTATAAGATGCTCTGGCAGCGTGAGGTCGATCGTTGTATCATCACTATAGCTCTTATGTGATGGTTGTCGGTTAGAGAAGCTCCCACAGCAGTTATTGTATTTTCATATGCAGAGATTATTGTATCTTATATACATCAGTTCATTGTATTTCTATATACTTTTCAGGCTTATTGTATCTTTGTATACACACAGAGTTTATAACATGTTTTAAATAATCTTTCTTTATATCGCACTTGTTTTAAATTGCCTTATATTGAAAGCAGTCAGTCAGGTTGAGTTTAGTTGAGCTAGGTAAGCTTTTCAGTTTCTTCCAGATTTCCTTCTAGCCTTTGTTGCTTAGTTTTCCAGCTTGCATACTCGTACATTCCATGTACTGATGCCAGTTGGCCTGCATCGTTTGATGATGCAGATTCAGGTACCCCGGATCAGCATCCTGCTCGTCGTTGATCCAGCTGTGCACTCCAGAGTCAGTGGTGAGCCTCCTTGCATTCCGGAGGACTCAATTATTTTGTGTTAGTTTTTGTTTTATTAGGATGTTGCGGGGTCTGTCCCAACATCCATCTCAGTATTTTAGAGGCTTCATAGACAGACAGTCAGTCAGTTAGTTTTGAGTCTCTCATCTATATATATATATGTAAATATTTCGTTTTGAGATTCGAGTTGCCTTTATGGCCATATTTTATAAGTTAAGTTGTTTTGAAAAATTGCATTGCATCGAGTTATTCTGTTGAGGTTTCCGCTGAGTTAAGAAAGCCAGGCCAAGGGTTCGCTTGGGGCCAGAAATGGTCTCCGGGTGCCGGTCCTGCCCAGGGTGTAGGCTCGGGGCGTGACAAACTTGGTATCAGAGCCCAGAGTTCAGGAGTCCTAGGGAGTCTATGAAGTCGTGTCTGTAGAGTCCTAGTTATCGGTGTGAAGCGCGCCACATCTATAATTGGGAGGCTGCAACATTTAGGAAGATTTCTCACTTCTTTCACACTCATTTCATGCGTTAGAGCTGATCTCTAAAAAGTTTCTTTCTAATCCGTGCTTGAGCGTGTTTCAGATAGTCATGCCTCCACGAAGAGTTGGTAGAGGGCGTCTTCCTAGACGTTATGTTGATGAGCAAGAGTTACCCTATGCACCGGGAGTGCAAGGTCAATGGGAAGTTTTTAATGCCGAGTTCAGAGAGGCAATTAGAATGTTGAGTCAAGCTGTAGCTAATCAGATTGGTCAGCAGAGGGAGCTCGACAGGAAGGAGCTGACACTTCTAGGATTCGTGAATTCTTGGGGATGAATCCTCTGAGTTTCATGGAGTCGAGCACTACTGAGGATCCAGATGATTTCATTGAGGAGTTGAAGAAGATTTTTGATGTGATGCATGTGGCAGATATTGAGCGGGTTGAACTAGCTGCTTATCAATTGAAGGATGTTGCTAGAACTTGGTTCGACCAGTGGAAAGGGGGCAGAGCTGAGAATGCACCACCTGCAAGTTGGGCCGATTTTGAGGAAGCTTTCTTGGGGCATTTCTTTCCTCGAGAATTGAGAGAGGCCAAGATACGTGAGTTCCTCACACTTAAGCAGGAGTCCTTGAGTGTTCACGAGTACAGTTTAAAGTTCACACAATTATCCCGCTATGCTCCGGAGATGGTTGCGGACATGAGGAATAGAATGAACTTGTTTGTTGCTGGGCTGTCTCGGTTGTCGAGCAAGGAAGGTAGCTGCAATGCTTATCGGGGACATGGACATATCAAGGTTGATGGTTTATGTGCAGCAGGTTGAGGAAGAGAAGCTGAGGGACAGAGAAGAGTTCAGAAATAAAAAAAAGCTAAGATCGGGAGCGAGTCCGGGCAGCAGAGAGGTAATTCAAACCGTTCCTCCTTTCAGCAAAGGCAACAGGGACCTGCTCCATCATTTGCTAGAGCACCTGCACCCAGATCAGAGGTGAATTTAATGTTCAGAATTCGAAGGACTTAGGGCTAGACCAGCACAATCTTCGGGTAGTGTGGCGCAAGGGAGTAGTAAGCCTCCGGTCTGCCCAAATGTGGTAGGAACCACTCAGGTATTTGTCGAGAGGGCTCCCTTGGTTGTTTCAAGTGTGGTCAGAATGGGCATTTATACGAGAGTGTCCAAAGAATAGGAGGGTAATGGAGGCAATAAAGCACAGTCTTCTTCAGTTGTTCCACCAGACGGGACGGCACCTAGAGAGCTACTTTAGTGTAGGTGGAGGAGCAAACCGCCTTTATGCATCACCAGTCGCCATGAGCAAGAGAATTCTCCGAATGTTGTCACTGGTATGATCAAAGTCTTTGCTTTTGATGTGTATGCTTTGCTAGACCCAGGAGCGAGTTTATCTTTTGTAACTCCTTATGTTGCAAATCAGTTTGAGGTTCTTCCTGAAGGACTTTGTGAACCCTTTTGTGTTTCTACACCTATTGGGGAGTCTATTCTAGCGGAAAGAGTTTATCGTGATTTCCTGTTTCTATCAATCACAAGAGCACCATGGTTGATTTGGTTGAGTTAAACATGGTAGATTTTGATGTCATTCTAGGTATGGATTGGCTTCATGCTTGTTATGCATCGATAGATTGTAGAACTCGAGCGTCAAGTTTCAGTTTCCGAATGAGCCAGTCATAGAGTGGAGTAGCAGTTCAGCAGTGCCTAAGGGTCGTTTTATTTCGTACCTTAAGGCAAGAAAGTTAGTTTCGAAGGGTTGTATCTATCACTTAGTCCGAGTTCATGACTCTAGTGTTGAGATACCTCATTTCCAGTCAGTTCCTATAGTAAAAGAGTTTCCAGAAGTTTTTCCTGATGATCTACCCGGAATTCCTCCTGAGAGAGAAATAGATTTCGGCATAGATCTTATTCCAGATACTCGTCCTATCTCTATTCCGCCATATAGAATGGCACC